AAGACTTCGCACAACTCTGTATGACCTTGCGTCGAAAAGTTACAGACATTTTCCTAGAAGTCATAAAATCGACTATTTCATACAGCGTTTAACATAGCGTTTTCGCTGTATAAGAGTTACACCTGAACTGCGCCCCAAGATGTTTAATAACGGTTTGTCGTAGACAGTTCATTCTTTTTTTGTTTAAAAGAGGAAACAAACATACACCGATTGACCGGCGTCGATTTTTAAAGTAGGTGTTAGTTTTTTGTCAAACTGAGGATTTTTAGAAAATCCGGAAGGCTCTTTCGGTTTTCGCAGGTTGTTGGTTGCCTGGAAAACGAATAAAGGCTTAATTGAAAACGGGAATCTTTGTTTTCTGCAAATTTCCTTTCTTCAAGTTTCGAATTTGTATTTTAGAAAACGAAGAGAAATGGTTGCTCGATAAACTTTAAGGACGACTAATAATATGAGCATACACTATGCCAGCCAGTATATAGAATGCTCACAAAAGTAAAGTACTAATATGGTAGAGGATACGTTCATAATCTAATTTCTATCCCACTGTACTAGCGAAAACGGTGCACTAGGCAGGCATGCAATATGAAATTGCCTGCCCCTCACCCTCAATAATTCGAAATTCTTGAACTTCCCAAATTTGGGGAGTTCGAGAATTCCAGAATTTCGAATTTGGATTGCACCGTTTTCGCTATTACAGTGGGATAGAAACTAGACTACAAACATATCCTCTACCATATTACTACTTTACTTTTGTCACACTTTCCCCGTTCCAATAGTAACATAATTAAATCAGCTTATCAGGATCATGCAGAAATATTGTTCGACAGGCATATGTCTCGACCCGACTTATAGGGAGAAACATTGACCTCAAATGCGGACATATATTTTTTTCGCATTCAATCTAGTTTTGAAATCGTTTTTACTTTTAATTACTTTTTTCAAAAAGCATACAGGGCTTCAGAACAGCTTCTCTCCTGTTTCACCTTCGATACCTTTTAAAAACTCATGCCGTTCGATGAGTTATTATTACTCTCTCGCCCGTTAATGCTTTTCTGATTTCGTGCTGAAAAGGACATTTCAGTTAAAAAATTTTACGCATAAACACTCTCTCTAAATTATTTTATTTAATCCAACTGGTAAAGCTTCAACGTCGAAGATTCTACAGCGTACTACATTTATATAGCAGTTTAAACCACGTCAACATACAATGCTTAACGACTTTTTCAACTTTTGTTCAAACTTATTCATCTCACATTTTCAGTTCTTTGACAATTTGGGAATGGAAAGTTAATCTAGGCTTGCGTTTTTTGGATCAAAATTTCACCAAGTTGAGTTTTCCATCGAAATTGCTTTCACGGAAACTATTCAAATACAGGTTATACGTCACATCGAAGAGATGGAAAAGATTCAATTTAAGTTCAGTTGACCTTTCAGCTTTTTTCGAGTCGTTAAACGGCAAATTTAAGTCTTCACAAGATTTGAACCTCAGAAGTCATTTATTCTTTGCGACAAGAGAATAACAAAACGAAAAGAAGGACCACTTACATCTCTTTCTGAATATTGTATTGAAGCTGAGGAATTTCTTGGAAAAACAAAAACAGGCATTAGCAGAGCTGTGGCGTTGTCTTGCACTCTACCGGTGCTAAATAAGGGCCAATTACGTGTGACACAAAAATTCATTCACAAGAAATTCAGGCTTTTCTCAATGATCCAACAACGAAAATAGTTGACAAAAACGAAAAGTATCAAATCATGTCTCAGCAACTAGTAACAGCAGTGATGATACAATGCTTCATCAGGTTATTTGGTGTTCATGCCTGTACAAAACATCGATGATTTACTGCATGAAGGTTAAGGTATTTATCCTTCTATAATGAATGGAATTAGTCAACCAAAGTACAAATCGGCAAACAAAGTTAATATAAGAATCGATTTTCGTAATTCTAATTAATAAAGGGGTGGACACATTACAAGACCTCCCCACAATAAAAGAAAGCCTAACTAGAAGACACCTCTTGAGCTCATCTTGTAAGTGTTAAAATAGAAGACCCGTTATTTTTCAGTTTTTTGCTTGTAAGTCTTGCAAAATTCATTTATAATTATTTCCTGTAGAAAGTAAATTCTCTTTTCCGCTAAGCACACATACATGTGCACACGGAGAAGCGAGAATGGGTCATTCTGTGCACCTGATAAGATAAGATGATAAAATGTATCCCTTTTCTTTCGTTTCTCAGTTGCTGTAAAACACACAATACATGTGACACGAAACGCGTGGTGTTGAGAGTGCTATGACGACTACAGTCACATTCACTCTCAACTGTTTGTCTCTCATTGATCCGTAATACTCTATAATAACTGAGACAAAATTCAAATTTGCTCAAAGTAACTAGTGGAAAGTTGAATTATTCAAGTTGCATTACTCACCCAATCGACAGACTGATGTACCCGCGGCCACACTACGTTGACTGATCTGTTTCCTCGTGGTGGCATAAACCGTGGCTAAGATGTTATGACGAGTTCAGCACCTTCTCTTTTTTCTTATGTTGACAAGAAACTAGCCGTTACCGGCCTCGTTGATAAACTATTCGCAGATCATTCAGTCATGCTTTGGAGCCAGTTTCGACAGAATTTAGCTAGACCACACACAGACAACAGCGACGTATCAACAAAACTTCATAGGGAATGATCGTCTAAGTACTTTTTACACTATAATGTCGGAATTATTTATTGAAAATGGTCGGTGATTTTCAAAAGTTCATATATAAATTCCTTGAGGATTTTCTAGATTCTAGGAAATCGAATTTACAAGAAGCTTGGAAATTGCACATCGAATTTCTAAAATGTTGGAAAATCGATCGATTTTCTATAAATAATTCCCAAGATTCTTGAAATTCTAGGTCGAATTTCTAGTTCGATTTTCTAGGATTATGAAAAATGCTCAGCGATTTTCGATCCAGCTTTCGTGTTTTCATCATTGGAGAGATTCCTGTGGAAGAGTAGAAATTCTCATTGAAAGAGAGAAATTCATGTTAGCCAAGAGAGAAATTATCGTGCGAGAAGAGAAGTTCCCATGGAAAGAGAGAAATTCTCGTCCAGTCTGGCTTGCGTGTACAGAATCTGTCGTGAAAAAACTTGATCAAGATATGTAACTGATTGTAATGAAGCAATCAATTCTTTATTACTGTAATTAACTAGCAGAATCTTAACAAATTTTCGATATCTGTATAAATTTTGAACTGTTTTTGGGTTGGTTAGGTATTATTTTGATTTATTTTTATCTACTGTATTCTATAGGGTGCTCTGTAGTACTGTACTGTACCAACAGTGCGCCAAAATTCACAGCTCTTACGGTACTGTTTAGACAATACCGAAGCTATTCAGTCGAACGTTACGTCTGTAATGAACTTGAAGATTTCTCACTTTTTTTTATAGTGCAGATTATATATATATATATATATATATATTACAGTACCATATATGAGTGATTCTCGTGATTTTTGTACCGTTTTTAAAGGAAAAAATGACCCAAAATCAAAGTGTCCAGAACCTATTAACTTGCGGTTTTCCATAATCTATAGTGCCTAGCTTGATGAATTTTCTCATGGAAAAACATTTGACTGAAACTGCTTATTGATTTCGCAGTGGACTAAAAAGCGGGGTGGAACACGATTTTTGAACTTTTCGAGGACCACAAATTCCACTGAAGTTTTCACACAAAAACTAAAAAGAATTAGGCAAAACTAAGACTGCAGATTGACAGAGTAGATAAAATACTGCACCAAAAGCAAAAAAGGTTTTGTTCTGCCCCCCCTTAGAAGAAGAAAAATGCTAATTAAGAAAAAAGAACGTGCAGTAACTAAGAAGAAAAGCAGGGAAAAAGAATCAAAAAACAAAATATTTTGCCTACTGTACACTAAGACAATAAGACAGAAAAGAGATCTTAGCAGTATATATAAAGTAAAGTGTCCGGAACAAAATGGCATACGCTTCCAAAAGTTTGATTTAGTATTAACGGAGAACCATGCAGGTCCATTAGATTAGATCGAATGCTTCAAAAATCATCAGAATCACTCATATATATATATATCTACGGACACTGCAAAACAAAAACGGTGATAGAGACAACAACAAGTATAATTTATTCATTTGTGCATCTAGTAGACCAATAGAATTCACGGTAAGATCCTCTATAATGTAGTACCACAAAGAATATCAATACGTGTGAAATTCGAATTTCAAGAATCTTGGAAATTATTTATAGAAAATCAATTGAATTTCCATAATATTACAAAATCAAACTCGAATTTCCAGTATTTATAATATAATTTTATATTTTTGAAATTCCATGGCTATTTTCTGAATAAAATGAAAAGTCAGTTTATAGAAAATCGCGAAATTCTAAAAAGTTAGATAATCTACGAGCATTTCATAAATATCAGAAAAAGCTCCACTATTTTCCAGATCGATTTTCTATAAATTAGAAACTAATTCAAAATTACAGTGTAAGGTACTTAACAATCGTTGCTTTTAATCGCCTTCATATCACTCGACGAGAAACAAAGTAAGGAGCCGCCAGGCTATAATACTAATACAGACTTCTCATTTTGCATCACAAGAATGTGATGCAGAATGATAATTGCCCGTTAAGAAATAATTTAAAACATCATTATTAGTAAATTCTTCCGAAAAGTTATGACCAAACTACTGTCATGTATAGATAATGAAAATTACTTAGTTGTATTTACTTGCTATAGTTTCATTCATAAAATCCAAATCTATACTTCATGCAAATATTGAGTTATAATTTCTTTTTCTATGCTCTTTTTCTCCTACTTGAAAATTAAGAGGTTTCAGCAGCGAGAGAACAATATAATTATTATTAATAACACTTGAATAATTCGATGTATTTTTGTTTTCAGTTAAAACAAACATTGGACGTATCATACATCTCTTCACTTTCGAAATTGAATTTAAAGAGTGTTCAAGTTTGAAAAGAAAACATGTCCGATAGAACAAGTTTTTTAATCGAACGCTATCAAGCACAACAGCAATTAAGCTTAGTATCAGATGGTTATCAAAAATTCGATCGATCAAGTGTATGGTCATCAGGGCCAATTCGAAATTCTGCAATTCATCCACAATTCGGATTTCAAAGTATTTCCAAATTAGATGCGTGGTCAGAAACATCGCAACCGTCCGAAAAAATCTCGCCTACTAAGTATAATAAGATGATTGGACTTTGGTTCGAAGGTTTTTTGTCTGGTGTTATTTAGACGATGTTTGCCAAAACTCAAAGGATTTTTAATAGGTGCTGGGATTCCAACCCTCTGTTTTGTCGTTGTGTTGATAATTATTTTAGTAGTTCTATGGTTAAAATCAGGTATTCAGTCATATACTATTTACATATATTCTGATCAATGTTTTATTATATAGGAGACCTTACGATCAGCACAACAACACGTAATACTGAGACTCAATTTATTTTAATCAACCCAAATCATTTTATCTTCATCTTTAGCTTCCAGCACTCTGCAAACTACAGCTTCTTCGACAACGTCATCTTCGACAACGTCAACGACAGAAACAACATCTACAAGTATAAAAACATGTGTTGCAGTTTGTTTGAGAAAAAATATAATTATGTATATAAACCTTGGTTTTCGAAGTTTTGAAAATCTGAAAATTCTTTTTACTGTTTTTAAAGTCTTTTTTAGGCACGACAACATGTAAGTAGCACCGTAGATTAATTTTGCTTTTGTTGTTAAATAATTGTATCTATCTAAAGCTACAACGCCAGTATGTGCCGTTCAAATATATAACCAAAGTTTTACAGGCGGTGCTATTGCAACAAGCCAATGTACGGCATGGAACACATTTCGAACGTTGTTAGTTTGCCAAACTTATTCATTATTAACATTAAGTGGTTCACTGGATACGACAGGCTTTAGTATTAATGACTCGGCGGTCGTTAATAACATTACAACAGCATTAAGAACGAATGTAACGTATGGTCCGATAACATCGAATGGTCACTCATGGACGGTATATTTTTGTGCTGGTGGAATAGAATTTAGTGGAAATGGTGAGTGTAACTGTGGATCTACATATACTATACGGCCGTGTATATCAACGAGTCAATGGGGAGGAATTAATGACGGAACAAGTTGTACGGCATCAAGCCAGACTATGTCAGTAACAGTACAATAGTCAGTCTATTATACGACGTGACCTGCTAACGGTCCCTTTCAAATGAGAAGGTTTCAAAACTTCTTTTCATCCAATCAGACTGAAAGGTGCATCATTAGATGCAGTTTTTTATGCCGATCACGAATATCAACTCTAGAAATTTAAAAATGAAATTTTAAAGCTCAGAATTGGAATTTAGAGTTTACTTTCACTTTTCGGACTGCGATTGTTTCTTGGAGAAGTTCCAGAATACTAACAGTCCATAGAGAATTCAATTCTCGACAAAACGGCTCATTTGGTTTTGAGTTCTGCTGTTTAAAAAAGATTTCATTAATAAAATGATTTTCTAGAAAAACGACTTTTCTCCAAATTAAACCATTTTACTAACTTGAATTTAGAGCGTATCAGAAAGAGTGCATCGAGAACTATCTAGTTTTATAGAAAATATCTTTTTTCAACAACTTTCGCCATTGAGTTTAACCTCTAGATTTCAGACAGCCGAAAAAAGATAGATTTCCATAATCCCATATCTTGCAGAAAGTTCAAATCTGCACAAGTTCTTTAAAGATTCTGCTTCTTGAAATTTCTTGATCAAGATTTACTACGGATCCGAGTCTGGCATATCTTCAAAATTCTGTATCAAGATCTTGAAAAGATTTTGGAACTTTTCTGAACTCATTAATGTAATTATTAATTAGGATAATTACTTCCATATTTGGACTAGGTAGGTGGGAGAACGGTAACTCAAGAATTTTACATATATTGATATTCTTTGTAGTACTACCCACAGGGAAATTTTATCGACTTTTCACGCGTGAGGGACCGTGAAATGTCAGCTTGGACTTTCACGAAATTTTGCAGGTAAAGACAGCAAGTTTCACGACAGTTTGGTCGTGTTGTTGCAACATCACCCGCGTAGCTACGCGTGAAAAATCTTCACACGTGTACACAGGTGAACAATCTTCACGCGTGATGACGTGTGAAAAAATCTTGACCATGCCGACCATCTATAGTCAACTGATTATACATCGTCACGATGGTCAAGGTATAATGCAGACTTCATCAATGCAACTTCATCTATAACTTCTCCCACGTGTGACCACTAGTTTCTAAAATATCACATTTTATATATATCACCGCAAAGTAAGAGTAGAACCAAGGTACTTTGAATTAGAAATCTACGATACTACTATTGAGCTAACTTGCCTGAGAAACTACTGAATAAATCTCATATTCATAGTTGTCGAATCAATCCTCACGAGTTACCACGCGTGATTACTCGTGAACTTCCTAAATCTCTTTTCTTAGTTTCCAACTTTTCCAAACCTTTTTAGTTACTACTTCCTCACGGGAACAAGATGATTCCCAGGCATATTCCTACAGCAAAATTTTTCATCTGTCTGTATGTACAACTTTCGGAAGATATAGGAGAAATTTGTATTTATGCTTACCGCTCAATCTTCACGACAACGTTTTGCGTCATATTTTTTGCACGTG